ATGGTCTGTCATCGTCTAAGACGAAGATCAGAAGAACATAAAAACTGAAAGATATTGGTGCTAAAGGGATGGCTCAGAAGTTAAAAAAAAGTTGCTGTTTTTCCAGAGGAAGAATTCCTCCTGAATTTAGTACCCAGAATCTATGTAAGGTTACAGACAACTGAGTATAAATCCAGCTCCAGAGGCTACAAGTCCTCTTCTGTTCTCTGTGAGCACTTGCACACACTGGTGCACACACACACACACACATACACACAGGCACACACAGAATTAGAGACAGAGACTGAGAGACACAGACAAATAATAAAATAAATCTTTTCCTGTTTGAGAAAAACTTCAAGTCTTTGAAGAAAGAAATTGAAGAAGATCTCAGAAGATGGAAAGATCTCTTGTGCTAATGGATTGGTAGGATTAACATTGTGAAAATGCCATCCTGCCAAAAGCAATCTACAGATTCAATGCAATTCCCATCAAAATGCCAATACAATTCTTTACAGACCTTGAAAAAAAATATTCTCAGCTTCATATGGAGAAACAAAAAACCCAGAATCTCCAAAACAATCCTGTACAACAACAGATCATCCGGAGGTATCTCCATCCCCGATCTCAAGTTGTACTAAAGAGCAATAGTAATAAAAACTGCATGGTATTGCCATAAAAACAGAAAGGTGGATCAATGGAACCACATAGAAGACCCAGAAATAAACCCACACACCTATGAATACTCGATTTTTGACAAAGAAGCCAAAACCATTCAATGGAAAAAAGACAGCATCTTCAACAAATGGTGCTGGTCCAACTGGATGTCCACATGCAGAAAAATGAAAATAGATCTATATTTATCACCCTGCACAAAACTAAAGTCCAAGTGGATCAAAGACCTCAACATAAAACCAGATACTCTAAATCTGTTAGAAGAAAAAGTAGGGAATACCCTAGAACTCATTGGCACAGGAGACAACTTCCTGAACAGAACACCAACAGCACAGGCTCTAAGAGCAACAATCAATAAATGGGACCTCATGAAACTGAAAAGCTTCTGTAAAGCAAAGGACACTGTCATCAAAACAAAACGCCTGCCTACAGATTGGGAAAGAATCTTCGCTAACCCTTTATCTGACAGAGGACTAATATCGAGTATATACAAAGAACTAAAGAAGCTGAAAAGCAGCAAACCAAGTAATCCAATTAAAAAATGGGGAACAGAGCTAAACAGAGAATTCTCTGTAGAGGAATAACGAATGGCAGAGAAACACTTAAAGAAATGCTCATCCTCATTAGCCATCAGGGAAATGCAAATCAAAATGACCCTGAGATATCACCTTACACCCATCAGAGTGGCCAAGATGAAAAACTCAAGGGACAACACATGCTGGAGAGGTTGTGGAGAAAGGAGAACCCTCCACCACTGCTGGTGGGAATGTAAACTGGTACAACTACTCTGGAAATCTATCTGGCGCTTTCTAAGACAATTAGGAATAGTGCTTCCTCAAGACCCAGCTATACCACTGCTAGGTATATACCCAAAGTTTGCTCAAGTACACAAAAGGGATATTTGCTCAACCATGTTTATAGCAGCTTATTTGTAATAGCCAGAACCTGGAAACAACCCAGATGTCCAACAACGGAGAAAAGGGTACAGAAATTGTGGTATTTTTACACAATGGAATACTACTCAGCAATCAAAAAGGAGGAAACCATGAAATTTGCAGGCAAATGGTGGGATCTAGAAAAGATCATCCTGAGTGAAATATCCCAGAAGGAGAAAGACAAACACGGTATATACTCACTTATATAGACCTATAAGATGTGATAAACATAATGAAATCTATACACCTAAAAAAGATAATCAAGAGAGCGGACATGGGGTAAGATGATCAATCCTCGTTTTGAAAGACAGATGGGATGTGCATCGAACATATGACAGGAGTCTACTGAGTGCATTTGAAAGACTCTAACTAGCAGTGTTTTCAAAGCAGACTCATGACCAAACCTTTGGCAGAGTACAGGGAATCATAAGCAAGAAGGGGAGTTAGTCTGATGGGGAAAGGATAGGAGCTCCACAAGGACCAAATATATCTGGGCACAGGGTCTTTTCTGAGACTGACATTCAACCAAGGACCATGTATGGATATAACCCAGAACCTCTGCTCAGTTGTAGCCTGTGGTAGCTCAGTAACCAATTGGTTTCCCATAGTGAGGAGAACAAGGACTATTTCTAACAGGAACTCAATGACTGGCTCTTTGGCCTCCCCACCCCCCAAGGGAGGAGCAGTCCTGTTAGGCCACAGAGGAGAGCTTTGCAGCCAGTCCTGAAGATACCTGATAAAACAGGATCAGATGAATGGGGAGGAGGTCCCCCCATCAGTGGACTTGGAAAGGGGCACGGTGGAGATGAGGGAGGGAGGGAAGGAGTGAGAGGGAATGAGGGAGTGGGATACGGCTGGGATACAGAGTTAATAAAGTGTAACTGATAAGAAAAAAAAATAAAATTAAAAAATAAAATTAAATAAATCTTTCAAAATAGTCTTCAAAAATCTCTGAAAGGAGGTTTGTGAAGTGCTGTCTTCTGGACAAGGTACAGCCAATTTCAAACACAACTTCACAATATCTGTGCTTATATGACAGATAAGATTACTATCCCTGTTAACAGTTGATCATGGACCAGGGAAGGGCCTATGAGGCCCTACCCTTCCCTGAAAGATTCTTGGTTATTGATGGATTCTCAGGGAGGACAGTCATTGTTTTTACTCACTGTACCCACTGATGAACTCACCAGGTCTCAAAATGGATAGTTCCCAAGGTAACACTGATCATTCTGGTTAAACTCCATGGTTCTCAAAACAGAAAAAAAAGGATGTTTGGGAGAAAAGAAAAAGGCAGAGAGTGGCTGCAGAGATACTCAGTGACTAAAAGCACAGGCTGCTCTTTCAGAGAACCTAGGTCCAATTCCCAGGACCCACATGGCAGCTCACGACCATCTATTACTCCAGTTGCAGGGGATCTGATACCCTCACAAAGATATACATGTAGGCAAAACACCAATGCACATGAACTAAAAATAAATAATATTTTTAAAAAAAAAGGCAGAGGAAGGAAAGGTAATTATAACAGAGGAAGTACTGGGACTAGAGATGATGGAGAGTTACAGCAATCAGAATGCATCTTCTGCCTATTTGAAATTATCAAAGGGCAAACTTGAGAATTTTTTTTTTTTTTAATCTTTTATTTATTTTTTATTAATTACACTTTATTCATTTTGTATCCCCCCATAAGTCCCTCCCTCCTCCCCTGCCAATCCCACCCTCCCTCCCCTTTCTGCATGCATGCCACTCCCCAAGTCCACTGATAGGGGAGGTCCTCCTCTCCTTCTTTCTGATCTTAGTCTATCAGTTCTCATCAAAAGTGGCTGCATTGTCCTCTACTGTGGCCTGGTAAGGCTGCTCCCCCCCCAGGGGGAAGTGATCAAAGAGCAGGCCAATCAGATTATGTCAGAGGCAGTCCCTCTTCCCATTACTATGTAACCCACTTGGACATTGAACTGCCATGGGCTACACCTGTGCAGGGGTTCCAGGTCATCTCCACAAATAGTCCTTGGTTGGAGTAGGAGTCTCTGGGAAGTTCCCTGTGTTCAAATTATCTTGTTCTGTTGCTCTGCTTGTGGAGTTCCCGTTCCCTCTAGCTCTTACTATTTCCCACTTCTTACATAAAATTCCATTCACTCTGCCCATCAGTTGGCCATCAGGCTCAGCATCTGCTTTGACAGTCTATACTGCAGAAGCTTTCAGAGGCCCTCTGTGGCAGGTTTCAAGGTTGTTTCCTGTTTTCTTCTGGCTTTCAGAGGCCCTCTGTAGCGGGTTCCGAGGTTGTTTCCTATTTTCGTTTTCTTCTGATGTACATCCTCTTTGCCTTTCAGGATGGGGATTGAACATTTTAGTTAGGGTCCTCTCTTTTGCTTAGTTTGTTTAGATGTACAGCTTTTAGTGGGTTTTTTCTATATTGTATGTTTATATGAGTGAGTATATACCGTGAGTGTCTTTTTGCTTCTGGGACAACTCACTCAGGATGATCCTTTCCAGGTCCCACCATTTACCTGCAAATTTCATGATTTCCTTATTTTTCATTGCTGAGTAATATTCCATTGGTCTAGAGGAGAAACACTATAGCTGTGGCTCACTAGAGATTGTAAAACAGTGAGGTTTTATACTTTCAGGATAAAACATAACTGCAATAGGGGCCAGTGGAAACAGCATGACCTAGGAGAAGGGGCAGCAGTACCTGGCAGGTAAGGTAATACATGACAGCACAGCAGAATACAAACAGAATGTGGCACTCATTTGGAATTTCACAGGAAATTTTAGTGAGCACAGTGAGACTTCATATAGCTGGGTGTGGTGGTGCATGCCTGTAGTCCCAGCACTCAGGGAGGCAGAGGCAGGTGGATCTCTGTGAGTTTGAGAACAGCCTGGTCTACAGACAGGGCTACAGAGAGAAACCCTGTCTCAAACAAACAAACAAACAAACAAACAAACAACAACAAAAATGTGAGACCTCCTTTAGCTATTAATTTCCCATGCTCCAAAGGAATCTACAGAGGTTGGGGGAGGGCCTACCATGAAAGAAACAGATCACAAAGGATCCTTTTCTCATTTAGTTTCACAGCAGCACTGTAAGGTATGTCTTACTCCTACTTAACTTGAAAATGTTATTCCTACTGACAGTAAATATCTCATTTATATTTTTGTTTAAGAGATTCAGAAGAGGTGCTGGAGAGATGTCTCAGTGGTTAAGAGCACTTGTTGCTCTTCCAGAGGACTTGGGTCCAAATCCCAGAACCCATGTGGTGGCTCACAACCATCTGTAACTCCAGATCCAACCAGGTGATCCAACGACTTCTTCTGATCTCTACAGGCACTATGCACACACCTGGTATAGGCAAAACACTCATATACATAAAATAAAAAGATAAATCTTAGAAAAGAGATTCAGAAGAAACAGGGTTAACTTTTAAGTTCTGATAAATATTTATTAAGCAGCACATTGTCTTTATAAGCTGATTAACATGTTTTGCTTTTTTAGAATTGCTTCACATTTTTCATTATATTGTTTGTTGTACAACATAAATAAAATGTGTTCATCATGAAATGTGAGACTTTAGATAAAGCAAAATTTTAAAAATATAATAATCACCTATTATCTTTACCACACAGATAACCAATATTAGTTAGCCTTTAAGTACATAGTTTTTAGCTTTTCTTTGCATATTAATATAGAAATGTTTCCTTTTACAAAAATGGGATGCTATGTATATACCCTTTGTTTTTATCACCACACATATATAATGTATATCTTTCCATGCAAATGGATCATACTCAGATTTTAGAAGATTAAAAAAAAAAAAACATCCTGTGCCAGTTACAAGTCAAACACCTGAAATAAAACTGCACAAAAATCACAACAAAGGGAAATGGCATATGAGAAGATGCAAACAGTGGGTCCAGGTAGCAATGCAAAACAATAAAAGGTGGGACACATTAAATAGGGTAAGGACGGCTCCGTTTTGCCTTCCAATGCATTACCATCAATTTATTTCTCACTCTTTTCATCTCTTCCAACTCATCCGCTGCCTGTATCATTTCTTCATTACTTAAATTCCTGCCATGTATGTCTCCTCTAAATTGAGGACGGAAACGGGCCAGCCTTTCTTTGAAACTTCCCTCCTCTAGCTTGTGTTTGCCCACCCCACAGGGAGGTTGCTCCATGGGAATACGGTCCTCGAACAAGTTCTTCCTTGAGAGGCACTCCTGCGGAGGACGATCTTCAGAGAGCAGCATCTCTGGCAGCAGCTCAGGTAGAAGCTCTTCAGGAAAGAACTCTTCCTCTGAGGACTGCTCCTCTGAGGACAGATCCTCAGAGGATTGGTCCTCTTCAGAACACTGATTTTCAAGAGACTGCTCCACAGGAGGCTGCTCTTCTTCGATCTTTAGAGTGGTCTGCGGTGGCTCTTCATTTTCTTTGCATGAGTTTTCCATGTTGAGAATTTTCTTCTTCAAGCAGTTTTTCTTGAATCAAGAAAAAGCAGAATAGAGTCACAATACTTGGCGGGCTAGGGCAACACCCTGACTACACTTTTCATTCCCTGCCTTTCCCTAACTGGAAACGATGTCTTTAAATCTTAGCTCACGCAAAGGCTCCGGGGCTATCCCGCCGCTGCAGCGCAGTGAGACCCCTCCCTCTCAATTGACCACCATTTTTCCCAGCAGGCCTTGCCAGAAGGCCTCTCCTGCAGTGACAGGGGCGGAGCAATGAAGTCTGCAGACCCTTCCCCTCCGTGTTCAATCTCAGACCCTGATGCTGTCCCGCCGCTCACCCTTACCTCATCCTCCGGCCCCTATAGTCCCCTTTGAGGCCTAGGTGAGACCTGCTACAGTTAGATTCCAGACCGGGTAGGGGACAGGGATAGGGGGAGGAGAAACCAAAGCAATGACGCACACCCCTTTTTGTAAGCACCAGCTAGCAACCCCGAGACAGTTCCCTTGGGATTCACCTTCCTCAGACCTCACATAGAGCATCGTCCTTTGTACCCCACCCGACTCTCAAGACCACTATTTTCTGCACCAAAACTGTGGACGGGGGCGGAGGGAAGCGGGGGGCGGGGCTGGAGATCGGGATTCTGCCTTGCAGGTAAGATCCCTCTGCTTACAAACCACCACCGACAATCACCAAATGTAGAGGATCCAGGGAACTTACTTCTGCTTTCCTTCTCGACCAAAGGATAATAGAAAGACGGTGTCTGGACAGGCAAAAAGGACCGGGATGAGAAGGACTTGGGCAGACATAGGCTCCTGGTCACGTGAGGGGCGCGCGTCACTGCCTGGCTCAGATCCCTAGTAACCACTTTGGCGACCATTTGCCAGCACTTGCCAGAATCTCCTGACCCCAAACACAATGGGGATTTTCACGCACCTTTTTTTTTTGTTTGTTTCTATTTGCCTTTTCTTGATTACTAGAGACAAGTAGCATCAGGTTCCCGAGGATTATTACCTCTTACCTACTGAGGCTACAGGTTTCTCCTGTACTTCAGAGCCTTCACTAAAATTTCAGTTTTACCCCTTTTTCACAGTGTAACACAGCAAAGCTAGGCAATGTGACAGATGTTTGTAATCTCAGTACTCGGGGTATAGAGACAATAGGATTGCCTCAGGTTGGAGAGCAGACCGTTTCCCACAGCTGGTTCCAGGTCAGTCAGAACTACATAACAGTATTTTCTCAACAAAACGAAACTTTTCAAGGACAGTGGGGAGATGGCTAAGCGTTTAAGAACACTTGTTATTGCAGAGGATCTCGATGTGATTCCCAGCACCCCCATATTTCAGGGGAATCCCTATTCCACAGGGAGCAGACCCCCACATGGCACACAGGCACACCTACAGTAAAGCACACACATAGATAAAATAACCAAATACCTCTCAAGTACTAATATTTGTGCTTAATCCACATCCCCATCTCATCACGATTTGAATGTCATTTCCTTGGTAGTTAATCTTTCATTTTTTTTTCATTTTTCATTTTTCATGTACTCTGTACTTTCATAAATAAAAATACTGGTGTGTCCATCTACACACAAAATAGTCAAGAGAACTTTTATATTATGTAAAGTAGGAGCTCATTTGGCACACAATGTGGTATTATTCTCCCCTCTATATGTATCATCATCATTCAATAGTTACTATTTATAGTAGAAGAAATAGATTTCACAGGAACCCTAAATGCTTAATAGCCAGCTCTTGGTTTTGTGGTTGAAAAGGTCTAACTTAATTTGTTAAATCAACAGATATTTGGGCCTCAAAAGATAGATAAAGCAAACTATGTAAGAACTCGTAACTCTGCTGACCACATACTTAGTAGCAAGATTAAAATCATGTATACATAGTTTGTTATCAATAGCATATAGTACATGTTTTGGGCTGTACTTTTTTATGGCCTTTGACCTTATGCCTACTTCTTACCTATCTAAAAAGCATGAATGCTACTTTCTCATGCAGATTTTTCTTCCAGAAAGGGAACTCTTTTTTTCTGTTTTATTCTTCCAGGGCAAGTGGCCATTAGATCTGTGAGGAGTCTGATACCTACTTTTATTCTAAACCTAAGCCGTTTTGTGATGCTTCAGAACATAAATTTATATTAAAATATCAGATTAGCAAGGATTTTGAAATTTATTTTTTGTCAAAACCTTGGCTATTTACTGTATTTCTGAACAGAAATTTATATGTGAAGCAACTTTTAGCAGACTTTTTTGGGACCTCACTTCACAGCTACAAAATTGGGCACAATAATGATACCTCCCCTGTTGGATCAGTAAGAGGAGTAAATGAGTCAGTATATGTACAGTACCTGGCATAAGGCTTAGCATATAGAAAGTGTTCTGTAACTTATGAACTTTAATAAAGTAGGGGAAATTATAAATAGCATGACATAGTACTAACAATACTCTAATTTTCCTTTTACTTTAAACATTGTTAACCAGGTATGGTGGTGCAACTTTTTAATACTAGCACCCACAAGGCAGAGATAGAGGTAAACACAGAGGCAAGCATGCCTCTCTGAGTTTGAGACCAGCCTGATCTACATAGAAAGTTCTGGATTAGCCAGGTCTCCATAGAGAGCCCCAGTCCATAAGAGAGGAAAAGAGAAGGCGGTGGGGAAGGAATTTAAATAAACTTTTTAACCACAGGAAACCACAAATAAACTCTCTAGGCTTGCTTGCTTTTAGTTGACTTTAAAAGTCACTACATTTGAAGGTCACACTGCTGAATAATATGAGCCTCTCATTAGTTGTGCTGTAGATAACATCTATAATGTGTGCATTTTGATAATAACTATTGCTTGTTACTTTTCAGGGACATGAAGGCCACTTTTACTGAGAGCAATTTTTTTTTTTGCTTGAGCCTGAAGATAGTGATTAAAATGATTTTTTTTAAAGCTTGTCACTTTATGTTCATATTGTATCTGTCTCTTTTGCTAGCTCAACTCTTGGGTCTTATTTCTGTTCAACTCAGCACGTAATCATGTTAGCTGCATAAGAGATGCATGCAAACTTCTTCAATCTGGTGTTTCTTCCTTCTTAGGTAGAAGACGACAAGGCAAAGGCAACCAAAAATATTTTCAGTGTTCACAGAAGCGTCACAATTCTGTGCTTATGTGTGTGTGCCAATAATCCATTTTAGACCACTGGAGGGGTCCTTCAGTTTCCAGTCATTTATTTATTCTTTCCTAAAGATAAAAAAGAGCTTGAAACCTGGTCCGAATCAAAGTGTTTTCCCCCTGCAAGGTGCTGGTTTCTTTCTTCTTCTTCTTCTTCTTCTTCTTCTTCTTCTTCTTCTTCTTCTTCTTCTTCTCTCTCTCTCTCTCTCTCTCTCTCTCTCTCTCTCTCTCCCTCTCCCTCTCCCTCTCCCTCTTTGGCATTACAAATAACTCCTTTTTTTCCCCTTGCCCCAACAACTTGTGCTTGTTTCTTAAGGTCCCTTTCAGATATGAGTAAATGGACTTGGGCTGAGTAACAATATTATTTGGCCTATTCTCCATCTGATACTTTATGTAATCCTTACACAATTAAAGTATCTACAAGGCCTCATTTTAAGGAGTTAACTCCCCCCAGTTAATTATTTCCGCTTTTTCTGAAATTACATGTATGATCAAGGGTACTTCCTATGGGCTCCTGAGTTGGTGAGCTTGTTTAGAAGTTTTAGTAGGGGTACTCAGCTACTCATATACTCTTGACCAGGGAACAGTCTTTAGTAGGAAAGGTTGCTCTCTTCCACTGAATGTACAGCTTCAGGAAGGAATCTATATGGATTGGTGAGAGAGTAATAAATTAAAATAAGATAAAAACAAACAGATTGTAATAGGACCAAACAATCAAAAAAAAAAAAAGAAAAGAAAAGAAAAGAAAAGAGCCAGAGAAAAACACAAGAAATGCATATGTACATAAAAACAACACATAGGATCACACACACGGGAATCACATAAAAACATGTGTTAAGGCACTAGGTTCCATTCCTAGAATACAAAAAAAGGAAAATTCATTTTAATGGTAAGTTCTAGGAAGGCACAAATTTTTTCTGTGAAAATATAGGTGATAATAAGTATGCCAAGTGATAATAATAAGTATTAACTGCTCTTAATATTCTTTCTGCTGAGCCAGTTACATTAAATGTGAATTTGACTATGCCATCTTTGTCTGATGTTGTTGAACTTTAGCCACATATTCAGGATGATGAATCTGTAATTAAACAGAGAACAGAAAATGAAAAAGCTTTGATGGGTCAAGACATGAAGAATGGCATTCTTCTAATAATAATCTTTGGAGGATTTTCTCAGGTCACTATCAGTGATACTAATAGAGACATTTCTATTCGCCAAAGTCATGGAGACTGTGACCCATCAGTCTCAAGAGGTTTGTTTCTCTTACTTTTGAAAATTAAAAGCAGCCAATGTAATCTTCAAAATCTATGAGGGTATAATGATGGCAGCAAGAAATGATGGATGTCAAGCAATGTATACCCCTACCTCAAATTGATTGCTGTCATTACGAGGCCCTGTGTAGACTTACACCGGCATCATTGTGGTAATATATAAACTTTCCCCCATACCTGATATTAAAACTTGTAATGTTTACAGCGTCAAAAATGTTTTGCAAATGCACACCAATGATGCAGACTCAATGATGTCTCAATGTGGGAATATGTTATCCTTTAAGTTTCTGTACATATATTTGTATAAGAGGATCCAGAATATACTAATATCAAAGTAGACGAAGTAGCTAACTTCTGCCTTTCAAGCATAAGTCAGGAAAATAAAATACTGCAACCAGTGATTTTATTACATTATTTGAAAATTACTGAAATGTTTACTGAAAAATTTAGGACTAAACAAACAGTTAAGATAAAAGTGACCTGTTAATTATGTGGTTTAGACTATGAATTTAATTCTCCATTGTTTAGTCACCATGCCATGTCTATACTTTTTAAAAATGAATTCATGATGGTTGTAATACAGTAGAATTAGATGGTATACTATGGAAAATGCTTTCAAATGCCAAAAATGTTATTGTTATTTTTAATTAATGGTCTTTTTATTTGACTATGCTTTTCTTTTCTTTGCTACTTCTATTCAATTTTTTTCTGTTTTCAAGGAAATGCAATATTTCTATCCTGACTTTTCCATAGTATACTAAACATTGTCTCTATGCTATAGAAATCTATCAACATATATTGTAATTTTAAATTGTTAGTCACAAGCATATAATATTTCAAATCTATGTAACTTCAGAAGAAGAAAAATACTGCTTAAGTGCATTACGTATTTCAAATAACTACATCCTTAGCCCAGATTTAAACCCATGTAGTTTTCAAAATCTTCAGTTCAGGTAATAATTCTGTGGCTTTCTTTTTCTATAAAACTTGAAAGTTTAAATCTTATTTTGTGTATTCAGAAATATTTGCAACAGATTTTTAAAACTATGTTCTAAAATGATTAGGGCACAAAAGAACTGGTGAGCTGACCAACCTAGCTGTCACTCAGGCCAAAATTTTGAGCTGGCCCACCTCAACTCCTACCCCATGTATGAACTGCTGTAGCAGGAGAAGGGCCAGTCCTGCAGTTCCAAAGCTGCAGGATCTCTATGACACAGGGCAACAACAGGATATCCTAGAGGAGTCCTGTGAGGATCCAGAACTGATAGTATAGCAAAAGCCAGAGGCCTCAAACCAGACAAGCCAGAGATCTCAAATCAGACCTCAAACTCATTGAAATGAACAAATTCAAGTAAGTTGTTTTGACAAAAGTGTGTACTGTGTG